TGGGTCCCCCAAGCCCTCTTTAGTTTCTCTCTGACTCCAGGCCCCAGGGGCTCCCATCAGTCAGTGAGGTTCTCCCTCCCTTCTGGAGTCACATTCTTAACCAGAACACTCTGTCCGCATGTTCACTCTCTCCATGCTCTCATTTGTTTCATCTCGGCATCATCCCAGAGATCACTCAGGTTTTTCTCCTGTGTTACCTCAACTCCTTTCATCAGCTTAGTGAGGTGTATCACACTACACTGCTCTGACCAATTTAGGCTTTAAAAAAAACATATTATTCTTGTGCACTTATTTCTTCAGAGTTAAGATCTGACCCCTGCGCCAAACAAATCTGTGTTTTTTGACAAAATGCCTCCCCCTTATGCTAGGGTAACTCTGTGCTGTTGTACATACATGGGCTCAGTGTACTTAACTCAAATGTGCTGTCATCCACACTTCTTGACCTGTCCAGTAGCATCTCTGCACAGGATTTCTCCTGGGATGTAGTGGTTTGTTTCTGGATTTCAACTATGTCATCTGCACACATTCTCTTATACACAGTTGGCCCTGTCACTTTGGACCCTTTTTGGAGAGCTTCAGTGGTTTACTATGTGGGCCACAGTGTCCCTTGCCTTGTCTCAAATTTTGCCTGTCTGCCAACTTACTGAAGGTAGAGATTAATGAAGATGCAGGGTCCAATTCTTGGCCTTTCCTGAGTCCCTTGACCTTGGAATAGAAGCATTTAATAACCAGGGAGTGAATATGACAGAATGCAGTTGGCTAAAACAGATTTGAAACATCTGAAAAGCACTGCATTCCAATAGAGAGATTTTTTAAGAGAAGAGGGAAGTATGATACCAATGTAAGTGAGTGTTCAATGGGAAGATATTCTGATCTTAACTATCTGTTTAGAATCTAAGGCATATGTGTGCCCTTATCCTAGAATATCTGTCATTCATTCATTGCTTCATACCTACATGAGTAATAGGTAGCTCCAGCAGTGGTGAGTGCCTGCATGCCCAACTCTTTCACATTGTGTGGTCAGTAAAGTTCCTTTGTCATCCACTTTTTGTAATAGGATGAAAATACTTCCCCTACATTCATTTAGAACCACATCATGTAGTGTAATACTTTTTGTTTCAACCATCCAACAGAATTTTAGAAATCTCAATAGGAGAAGTTGAAAAGCTACTATACTTATCCATATTTTTGCCCTTTCCATTTTTCTTTCTTCCTTACTGACATTCCAGGAGCATTTCTATTATTAGTTCCTTTCTGTCTTAAGAATTTCCTTTAGCCATTCTTCTAGTTTACATCTACTGGTGATAAATTCGCTTCATTTTCTTTCATCTGACAATGTCTTTGTATACCCCTTCTTTCCTGAAGGATAACATAGCCGCCAGACACAGGATTTTAGGTTAACAGTTCTTTTCTTTTAACACTTGAAAAATGTTGCAGTATAATCACTGTATGGCACAGGGAAATATATACAAGATCTTATGGTAGCTCACAGAGAAAAAAATGTGACAATGAATATATATATATATATATATGTTCATGTATAACTGAAAAATTGTGCTTTACACTGGAATTTGACACAACATTATAAAATGATTATAGATCAATACAAAATATTTTAAAAATAAATGAATAAAACATACATCACCATAAAAAAAGAAAAATGTTGTACCACTTCCTTCTATACTTCATAGTTTCTGATGAGAAATTTGCTGTTATTTGAATTGCTTTTCTCCTATAGGTAATGCATCATTTCTCTCTCCCTGCTTTCAAGGGTTTTGTTTGTTTGTTTGTATTTGATTTTCCAAAGTTCTATCACGATGCATGTTTTCATGGATTTCTTTGGGATAATTCTGTTTGGGTTTCGTGCAGCTTCTTGAACCTCTAGATTTATGTCTTTTGCTAAATTTGAAGTTTGTTAGCTATTATTCCTTCAAAAAAATTTTTTCTACACACTTTTTCTCCTCTCCTTCCATGACATGAATATTACATCTTCTGTTATAGTCTCACAGGTCCCTGAGACATTGTTCTATAATTTTTCAGTCTATTTTTCTCTGTTGTTTAAATTGTGTTATTGCTACTGTTCTGCCTTCATGTTTACCGATTCTTTCCTCTTTCCTCTCCATTCTGCTGTTACATCCATCCATTGAGTTTCTACTTCAGTTATTGCATGTTTCAGTTCTAAAATTTCCAGTTGGTTCTTCTTTGTATCTTCCATTTCTTTGCTGAGACTTTTTTTCATTTGTTTCAAGCATATTTGTATTAACTCATTGAAACATTTTTATGATGACTACTTTAAAATTCCTGTTAGAAAATTCCAATACTTGTACTATCTTGATGTTGGTGTCTGTTGATTATCTTTTTTCACTCAGTTAAGATTTTTTGATTTTTTGGGTAGAAGAGGGAGTTTTGATTATACCCACAGGATATTTTGGGTATTATGTTATAAGAGTC